AGCAGTGCTCGTCAAACTTTTGAGTGTGACGGACCGGCTGCAGTTTTTCTATTACGTCGGGGACCGGTACCTTTTTTTATTGATTATTTTTCGTTTACGATCATCTCACATATGTATTAAAATTTGTTTAAATGAATTTCTTTATTAGCCGGGTGTCTATATATGACCTATTACCATTTAATGATAGCAGATATTAGCGATTTTTTATGAATGTTTAACAAATTTAAGTTGTTTTTATTATACAAGTTGTATATAGCCTCATTAAACAGTAATATAAAACATCAAAAAATCGTTGTCCATTTCGCGACGCCCTTTGCGGACCGGCGACTTATGGCTTACGGACCGGCACCGGTCCGCGGACCACCACTTTGACGAGCACTGTACTAGGGTATTCAATCCCGAAGCATTTTAACAATACCGGGATTCAAGGATGCGAAAAATTCTAATTCCGGGAACCCGGCATTTTTCGGGAGTTCGACTTCATCACAACTTTTGCATTTAACCGTATTCTTAAATATCCATAAAAATTATAAAAAAAAACCTTACTAATATCTCAAGAAATTCATTTTCCACAAAACGACAAAAATTAAATAAGGAACAACCCTTCCACACTGTAAAATCTGGTAAAGTTTTCTATTGCTATCAGATTTTTCGTTTGAACCAGTACAGTTATTCAGGCAGGTTCTGAAATTCACGTCCGAGTGCAAATAGCCCCAGTTCAGTTTGAATTAAAATTTTGGTGTTTTGTATATCTCGATTTTCATGTAAAATAAAAATTTTTTTTCATTTTTAACATCTTCGTTTTTCCGTAAATGACTCAGTAAAAATCTCGGGATCCCGGAGCTGTAATCCCGGGATTTCGAGACATGGAAAAGTGGCAAGGATCCCAGGATTGAATGCCCTAGTATGTACATATTTGCGCACCTTCTAGAAAATTAACAACTATTCGAGACTAAGTAGTCACACTCACTCATGGGCGTGCTGGTAACCGAGTCGGACGTAGACAATGGAAAGCTTTATTGGCTTTATAGCGATATAGGTAAAGTGGATCGAATTAAAATACATCTGTTCCGCTGGCTCAGCCGTGCCTTACGCATGAGCACAAACACTCCAGACCNGACCACCTAAGACGCAGCCGCGGTCAACATTTAAATGAAATTATCTTCAAAAAGTAAATGTCATGGACCAATCTAACGTTTCAAATAAAGAACCGATGAGATTTTGCAAATTTTATGCGTTTTTTTTAAAAAAAAAGGTATCAAGCTCTTAAAAAATCACCCCTTATTTAACGTAATACTCGGAAAAGGAAGACCTCCTCTACGATGAAATGACCACATGAACTTGGTTTCACATGACATTTACAGAGCAACAACGACCAAAATTGCTTTGGCTTGGCATAAATGAAGAAGAGGAAGTTCAATGCCAACGCTGTGGACGCGGATGATGAGGAATAGCTCAGAACAATGTACACAGGTAAGAGCAACAAAAACTTGTGCTCAAGTGAAGGTTCTTCTAGGTTCAATTCCATCTGACTTAATTCCCAGCGCTATGACGACATGAAGATTTTTTACAAATATATTTTAAATTATTATTATTTTTTTAAATCATTTTTTTTATCTTGATTC